CCCCAAAACCCCAAAACCCCAAAACCCCAAAACCCCAAACAGGAGAAATGTTGTTGAAAATAAGCTTAATAACATTTTTCTAACAAAATTGAACTTTCACCTTTTCAAATCCATTTTCTTCGAGAATAGAAGATACTTCTTCTTCAGTCAATTGTAAGTTGCCCACTGTAATCTCTTGGAAGCTTTCTCTGAAATCCTCGCTTTTGGCGAAGCCTTTAATTAGCCTTTCGAAATAAGGGATGTTATCCTCGAGATTAGATTTGTATCATAAATCTAATCTTTTAATTTGAGTATCTCTGAGAGCTTCTTGAAGGTTAGGAATAAAGTGCAAATCTATTTCACATTCGAATAATTGAAATCACTCCACATGCTTGAAATTCAAAAGAAGGCTGACAAGGTTTAGTTGGTAGATGCTAAATTTGCTAATCCTTAGCTCTTTCTGAACTCTTGGTGCTATTGCTAATAATACTTCAATGTAATGATCCATGGATATGACATCGGAAATCAAGTTGGATCATAATTTAAAGGTTTGAACCTTATTTGGGAAACAATTTGGGAGAAATTTGCTGATGTTTTGAGAGTATTTAGCTTCGATGGAGGAAATAGAAAAGTGTTCAATGTCAGGAATTCTTTTCCGAGCTCTCTTAATCAACTCCAAGTTCGTAGTCCTGTCTAGATTAAGATCTAAAGAGGTTCTACCTTCTTTATAGTCAATATCACCTGACCACCCATAGAAGACTTTAAGGAAGTGCTGGTCGATAGATCTTCAGAAAGCAGCAAAGTCTTTTGGAGTGTAGGTTGTCAAAGGGAAGAGCTGTTGTTCAAGAAGCTTATTTTCTTTAAGAGTAAGACCCAGCTTCTTTTGTGTTGATTTAATTTGTTTCTCTTTATTTATAATCTCATAGTTTTGGGCGTTTTTAATTGCTTTAATAATTTCAACTTTTTCCTTTAACTTAGCAATTTCTTTCTGTAAACATTTTTCTTTGTCATCTATCTGATCTTTATAGAGACTCTTAGCATTCATAAATTCTTGCTCAAAGAAATTTTGCTTATCCTCCAGGTTATTTAGGAAATCTTTCTTTAATTTTTCATTCTCTTCAGCGTGTTCTTTCAAAATATTTTGTTTCTCATTGAGAAGATCGGCATAGGTTTGCTTCAGTGTTTGGCTTATAATTATGAATTATAGAAAGTGTCTGGTGTTCAGCTCTTTCTTTAGCCAGATCATTTGTAATGTCTGAGACCTTAGCCTCCAGTTCATTAATAGCATCATTCTTTATTTTATATCAGTTATTAAAAATGTCTAGTTTTTCCAGTTGATCTTTCTTGTTTTCCTCTCGGGATTCTTCAAGCTTGGCTTCATAATCGGCTCTAAGTATTCGTAGCCGATCATTATGATGTTCCTTTTCTGAATTAAGTTTAGATTCAAGTTCTGCAATCCTTGCTCTATGATGTTCTTCAAGTTGTTCCTTCTGTGAATTAAGTTGAGACTCCAGTTCAGCAATCCTTGATCTAAGGTCATTTTCTTTCTTAATGTTAGCGTTTACTTTTTGCTTTAATTGTTTGATGTTTTCATGGGATCCTTTGAGTTCATCAGATTTACTTTTAATCTTTTTCTTAAGCTCAGCTATTTGTAGATCCTTTTCATGAGCTTTATCGATAAGTATCTTCTTGCTTTTTTCTATCTCCTCTTTGGTGTTTTTGAGGTCTTGTATCTTCTCTTTATATCCTTCTTCTTCCGCTAAATTTTGCAAACGTGAGTTCTTCTGTCTTTTTAATTTATCCTTCAGCTTTCTGATCTTTGTATCTTTTATAGAAAGTTCGGTCATAAGTATCTTCTTGCTTTGCTCTATTTCGTCTTGTATTATCCTTTCATATCCTTCTTTTTGTTTCTTTAAATTTTGCATATGTGATTTCTTCTGTTCTTTAAATTCATCCTTCACTTCTTTGATTTTTGTCTTCTTTATAGAAAGCTCTGTCTCAATTCTAATTTTTTCTTCTAAGATGCGATCCTTTTGTTGCTTGAGCTTGCTAGCAGTTCTTTCAAGCAATCTGTCATACTCTTCTCTGAGTTCTTTAGTCACGAGGGCTGCACTCATTTCAATAGTTCCTTCAACAACTGCCAATGTATCTTTCCAGTTCTTGGCTACAGAGTGCTTAATGAACAATTGGCTGTTCATGACAAAGTCTTCAAGGCCTTTAGCTTCTTTTAACAAGGCTCCGAGCTTGAAGAACTGGTTGGTGCTAATGGCAGCATCTAGGCTTGACATAATGTGACCAACCTCCTCTTTGATGGTGGAGTCGAATGCATTGTATTCTCTCTCAGGAGCAAGATACCCATGGCTTTGTGGTGATATTCAGAGGTTGTCCCTTTAAAACATTACATAGTCAAGAGTTGGTATATTTATCAGTAGCTCCTTCCTATATTGGTCTATGACCTTTAGGAGTAATTTAGTTGGATCTGGGGGGACTAGTTCGATAAAATCAAAGGTAGAATATTTTGCGGCTTGATGTGTATAACATATATAAATCTTCTTATCATTTACATAATATTTAGACACATTTTGACAGGACGCACTTTCTCATCTTGGAAATTTCATCTTTATTGTTATTAAAACCTAATGATACGCTTAGATTTTATAATTTTCAAGCTCACCAGATGATCTGGGGTTTTGGGGTTTTGGGGTTTTGGGGTTTTGGGG